TTGATAAAAGCATCATAAAAATTTTTACTAACACTATCATAACTATGCAAGGCTATATCATTTTTTTCCTCTGACTGTTTCGAATTGTTCCATTTTCACCCTCAAATGCATTTGTTCTTTATGCATTCTAAATTGCACTTTTCGTTTTAATTATACCCTAATTTCAAAATTATTCTTAATTGAATAATAAAAAATTATCATTTACGGGATTCACTCTAGTACATGGGTTAGCTTAATCGTCATAATTAAAATAAGCAAAACACCCTATTTTTGCATTTAAGCTTGAATACATAAGTGACATTCTTTAACCTACTGATTCGATGGAAGGATCTCTTCTCTCTATCTCCATGTCTTACCTCTCTAATTCTCAAACTCACACTTTCTTCTTCTCCTCCTTCTATCATATACTAGAAAATCAAGTGTCTTATTTTGCTGCAGCGGTATAAGGAGTAACCTCAAAGTGCTGAACTAGCTTTTAAAGATTAAAATAGTATTTTATCAAAAATTAATTCGTATAAAGCTTAGCTTTTAAATACTACTAAAATAGTTAACAGCTATCAAAACAGTTAATTTTGTCGAATAAAGCCTAAATATAATCATGTAATTTTTTTTGTCCATCCTAATATTCTCCTTGTCTACTCATATTTTTATATCAAATTAAGTATTTACTGACGTGCATTGCGCGTATTGCTTCTTGTTATAGATACTCATTATTTAATTTATTATTTATGAAGAATGTTGTTTATCGTTATTTTAATTACCAATAAAAAATAATTGAAAGCAATAATAAATAAAATTTTAAAAAGAATTGGTAATTAAATAAAATATTTACTATAGTTTGATTTTATTTCATAATCATGCTCTTTTCTATAAAATTTGAATGAAAATGAGGAAAATAATTATTTAGCCGCACAAATTTATTATAATTATCTAAATAGCCTTTAATATTTTTTATAATATTTATTTCATTCCTCGCATTTGGCACCATCTAATTAAAAAGTTTTTCCACCAGTTTTGATGGTTTTAGACGTCACAATGTGGTAAAAAAACAAAAACAACCTTATGATGATGACGTGGACCACTTTCTTCTCCAAACGATAACTTTTCATTCACACATTCTCTGAGCTGCTGGAACCTTCATTAGATCACTTTTCTTAGAATCCATCCAAAAAAAGCTCGAATCTTGGCATTAACAGAGACGGGTCTTTCTAATTCTCATGGTTACTCTGTGTCTCTCATAATCTTTTTAAAACGATTTCAACCGTCACTTGCTCTTTTCATTTTGATTCTCAATCTTTGTCTTTAAAGGTGAGCTTTTGATTCTCAATCGTTTCATTTGTAATCTGTCGTTTGATTCCGTTGTTAATCTCTTTATTTATGGTTTTTGCCAATTGGTTTTGTAGTTCTTGTTTTTTTGTTAATTGAGTTTTCAATTTAGTTAATGAGGTCTTTATTTGATTTTTGATTTTGTTATCAATCTTCTTTAGCCAATTGGGTTTTGTAAGTTTTTGTTTTTCTGTGAAATGGGTTTTCAATTTGAATAACGTGGCCTTGATTAGATTTGCAGTAATGCGAAAAGAATGATAACCTTCATCTTATAGCAAAACATATCTATGTATAATTACGCTCCCATGATTGTACATACCGAGGGACGAAAGCGCAACAGATATTTTTTAGAGTATCGTTTCCATTCCGATCTGTTTAATAAAGGTACAGATAATTATAAATGGATTTTAAATAAATAGGAGCAGAGAAATTACTATTTATAACGGATACATATAGAGTATGTCTATTCACACTGTAATAAACTATTTTGGCCATGGATACCCATGGATATCTATCCATTTATTAGAAAAAAATATATTTTAAAAACGTTTGGATTTAGATAATTTAAAATTGACTGATATCATATTCGTTTAACAGGTACTTTAAACGGATTTTAAATAGATACAGTAATAAATTTTAAACGGGTTTAAATACAGATATTAAATGGATATTTTAATTGATTTAGATCTAATACGGATAATAAATTTTAAATCGATTCAGTTACGGAGAGTTCAAAATTTATGATTAATCTCTCTGCATTCATCCGTATTCATACCGAACCACACTCCTAAAAAGCAAGCCATAGGTCATATAACATGTGATGTCAATAGTAGCTCCATTGCCATATATTGCATATGCACAAGTAATTAACAGTTGTCATTTTCCTCTTTCACCATCGTTTTATTTATCAGTAAAATTACATCCCTCTCTGTTTGGTTTGCAGGCTTCAAGAAGACCCAATGCATCACACACACACACACTCTCTCTCTCTCTCTCTCTCTCTCTCTCTCTCTCGCCTTTCTAAGCAAAGCATCCTGAATTCAGTTGAGTCTTTAGTTGAGTTTTAAATGGAAGAAGGGATGGTATTTAAGGGTATTTCAATCTTTTTTCATATTTTAACGGCAAAAACATAGAAAAATGGGTAGAATGACTATTTAATGAGATGGAGGCAAAATTTAACCATATGTTAAATATTTATATAAAGTTTAGAACTACTTAGATAATTAAATGACAGGATGAAATAATTATTTTTTTGTAAAAATATCCATAAATCCGAAAATCAAAAAGATTCATAATAATTTACAAAAATTTAAATAAGAAAATATTCCCTCAATAATAATAATAATTTTTTTATTAAAATAAACAATAGTAAATATTATAAAAATAAAGTTAAATCAACTTATATTTTAGAGTATAAGTTAAAATTTAAATATACGAAATGATTGCTGCACTAAAAATTGTAATTTTTTTATGCATAAATACAAAGTGAATTTAGAGTACAACTTATATCAACGTTACATCTCACATTTATATAAGTCCATTATTATTATAATAATAAATTATTAACGATTAATTTTTAATTATTTTAAATTTATATGAGTTAAATATCTAATTTTTCAATAGAAGTGCATCATAGGTGGGGCTGTTTGTCTTATTCACGAATTTGTATTTATTTTTTTATAAGAAAAATAGACAGAACTTGCAGTGCACGTGCCTTGCACACCTTCCTCTTTAGCCTATTAGGGTTTAAGCGACGACAGACCTGCCTATAAATAGCCAACTCTCTCTACCATTTTTCTTAGTAAGAACGGTGCTATTCATAAATATGCGCCTCCAGAAGTTCGTAAGAAAAAAATTAGGGTTTTATAGTACTGAAATTTCTGTTTTTTTGGATATTATTAGGTTTTAATCGCGTCATATACTGATTACCGGCGTTCAATTATAGCCATGGACGCTGCGTATGAGGTGATGCAACATCGTTTTTCCCTTTCTGCAAAAGTTATTGACGGAGCAGATCTGATTTTTCTCCATTTTCTGCAGATCTGGAGACATGTTTGTTTTGATTTATGTTTTTTTGTTTTTTTGAGTGAAAAAGAAGAGATGGAGGTGATGAATATTTCCCCAAATGATCGACGCTGAATAAACTGAGCGATTGTTAAATCTCTTGTGAGATTCCAAGCCAGAATTCTGATCCATCCTTTTCGCTTTTTTAATTTGAGATTGTTTTGGTTGAATTGATTTGCGATGGAAGGGATGATTATTTCCCCAGATGAACGAAGTTGAACAAACTGAGCGATCTTTTCTTTAAAGAGAATCAAAGCCAGAAATCTGATCCGTCGTTTTAGTTATAAATTTATAAATTAGAGAATGAAAATGTGAAAAAGAGATGAAAGGGATGATTATTTCCCCAGATGATCGAATATGAACAAATTGAGCGATCTTTTCTCTTTGGAGAATCCAAGCCAGAAATCTGATTCGTCTCTTTTTCATGCAATTTTTGCTTATAAAATGCAATTAAAACATTTTTCTAACTTAAAAGATTTTTTTATTCCGAAATTTTCATGTTTTAAATGTATTAAATTCGATCAAAAATCTACTTTTTTAACATTTTTTTGTTTTGGATGAATGAAGCAATATTCTTGGGAGTTGATAATTCAGTCCAAACAAACATTTACGTCAACATTGAAAAATAATAATTAATGCTAAACGAAATAATTAGTAATATTTATAAAAATTTGAGAAGAAAAGGAGATGAAAGGGATGATTATTTCCCCAGATGATCGAAAATGAACAAACTGAGCGATCTTTTCTCTTCGGAGAATCTAAGCCAGAAATCTGATTCGTCTCTTTTTCATGCAACTTTTGCATTTAAAACATCCTGAGATTTGGGGATTTTGAACTTAAAAGAGATTTTTTTTTTTACTAATTATGATTAGTTTTGAAATTTTATTGTTTAAAATGTATTAAATTCAGTCTAAAATATATATTAAATATTCTTGAAAAATAATGATTAATATTAAATGAAATAAAATAAAATGTCTATTTTCCTTTCATAATATTTGTAGATTTGTGAAAAAATGTTTGTCACATTTTTTACTTCAAGAAATAATAGATTTTTTTTTTCATGTTTATTATTTGTACTTCAATTTAATGGTATTTTTGGAGGATTAATATTAATAATTTATTGAAATTTTGGTAAATTTAATTATTGTTTAAGAAATGTAAAATTCATAATTAGTATTATGAAACAAGGTAATAATGCTAAAATTAAGAAAGGATAATAACTGTTTTATTAATATTTTAAAATGACAAATAAAGTAGGAAAAAAAAATTTAATGACTTGGAGTGAAAGTGTATAGACCCTAAAATTCAGAAGTGAATCTTAATTCTCTAGGTTAGAGAATTAAATATTAAGAGAGATAATTTTCTGTTGTTTGGACAGGGCAAAATATTATCTAAAAAGGAAAAATCAAGACTTTGTATTGTTGAATGTAATAAAATTTGAATAAAAAATTCTATCATGATATTTTTTTTTTTCTATATTTCTATTATAAATACAATTTCAGCTAAAATTAAACTTCAATTTATTGGTACATCTCTTGAAAATTTCAATTTTAGCAGTTTATAATAATAATTAATAGTTTGGGAGTTAAGCCATCCATTACAAAGAATGATGAAAATTTGGCAACCCAATAGCTCTCAAAAATAGAAAAAGGGGGGAAAAGAGAAAGAAGCAACAAATTAGAGAATAAAATTAGCAAAAAAAAAGATAACTACTGCATTATTTAGTTCTTCCAACTGAGACATGTTGACTATAGAAAGAATTGATGATCTCAGTACAACTAGAAATGCAATCAACTACAATTTTCTTGTACCTGAACCTCCACTGAACTGCTAATTTCCACCGTTCTATGGCCTGTTTGGTTTTACTAGATAACATCAACTCATCGCCATTTTTACCTTTTCCAATACTACTGGCTTCCAAGAAATCACGAAACTCACCTTTAAATTGGCACAGCATCTGCCCCAGCTCCATAGGGTTGTACAAATTTTGAATTTTGTCAATGGTAGATAACAGCAAATGATCTTCCTCGACTTTTGTTGGCAGATTATTCAAAATTTCATGACAACTTTTTGATATCCATTTCAGAACCCAGGTCTCATTTTCTACAGAAAGTTGAGAACCAGAATAAGCAAGGTGGCCTACAGATCTCCGCTGATTCGGAGGGGTTGCCCATAACCGCAAAGCAGATAATAAAGCAAAAGATGGTTTTCCGTCTTGATGTATGTACATTGATTCCTTTGGCCATGAATTTGAAGAATACATGCTGGGTTCCAACGGAATAAAAACCTTGTCATTTGGATTTTCGTCTAAAACAAACCCATAGTGTTCAAGAAGCTCCAAATTTGTGTATGTTCCATAGCTTAAGAGAACCTGCAAAACAATGCATTATTGCAATTCATTATTTCTATTCCACCAAATCAACAGAAATAGTAATGCACATCGAAAGAAAAAATATATATCATAATGCCAAAAATCTTCCATCATTAATCATGACTTTGACAGCTCAATGCCTTAATAATCCAAATCCTGATCTACAAAAAACTAGAGATAAAAGTAAAGCTTCAATCTTCAGTGTCATCAATTCAACTCACATTCTTACTCCTAAGCCACATAACAAGAATTAAAAATAAAATGTTTATCTATATCAATCACATAATATTATAAAAGAGTATGCAATCATGAGTCCATAATTATGCCAGCTAATTTATATCTGACAAACTTTTTTGTAAGCATTATCAAATAAAAATATTATGAAAAGGAAAAAAACTTGAGAAGAATCAGAGGATTAGAACATTCAAAGGAAAAATACAGTAGTTAAAATGTAAAATGAGTAAACAACAGAGAAGGGCAACAAAAAAGTCATTACTTTAACCTTTGAGAGTTGTATCAACAAGAATCAGCAAAAAGTTCTTATAGGAAAAGGAGAAAGAACTGCAACAGTTTACAGTGGTAACATTCTTGTTTCATCACCTCCATCCTATGTCTAGTTTTACAAGAAAATATTGAATTTACCGTAGCACTCACTGAAGCAGTTCGCTGTTTGTGTAAACATCTTGAGCATCACAGCCTCATTTGTGATGTATCAACAAGAATCAGCAAAAAGTTCTTATAGGAAAAGGAGAAAGAACTGCAACAGTTTACAGTGGTAACATTCTTGTTTCATCACCTCCATCCTATGTCTAGTTTTACAAGAAAATATTGAATTTACCGTAGCACTCACTGAAGCAGTTCGCTGTTTGTGTAAACATCTTGAGCATCACAGCCTCATTTGTGAATGTCTCACTACATATGCTTGGTTAAATTCATGATGCAAGGTTCCTTTTTCACTTTTCACATTTATAGTTGTGAAGAAGGTGGACTGACATGTGGAGAATGAATAAATTAGATAAATGACACAATAGTTAATCATGCTACTGCATTTTCCTAAAAACATAAGACTATAAATTTTATTGCAGTGGGATGTTTTGACATTCTTTCTTCTACTTTTTACTGCAGAACAAACAGATCTTCAGTGCAAGTCCTAGCTCAGTCCTACCACTGTATCAACAAGAATCAGCAAAAAGTTCTTATAGGAAAAGGAGAAAGAACTGCAACAGTTTACAGTGGTAACATTCTTGTTTCATCACCTCCATCCTATGTCTAGTTTTACAAGAAAATATTGAATTTACCGTAGCACTCACTGAAGCAGTTCGCTGTTTGTGTAAACATCTTGAGCATCACAGCCTCATTTGTGAATGTCTCACTACATATGCTTGGTTAAATTCATGATGCAAGGTTCCTTTTTCACTTTTCACATTTATAGTTGTGAAGAAGGTGGACTGACATGTGGAGAATGAATAAATTAGATAAATGACACAATAGTTAATCATGCTACTGCATTTTCCTAAAAACATAAGACTATAAATTTTATTGCAGTGGGATGTTTTGACATTCTTTCTTCTACTTTTTACTGCAGAACAAACAGATCTTCAGTGCAAGTCCTAGCTCAGTGTAAGGTCAACCATGTAAGAAAGACCCAACGGCAGTAAAAAAAATAAATATGAAGAATTATCAGTGGACAACTGCTAAATCAAAGTTCACACAGCTAAACTGATTGAAAATAATTTTGTAATACCTGCTCCCCTTTTTTATAATTTTTCCTAGCATAGAAGCAATATGCATCAAGGTCTTCATCAAACCCACCATCTGTTAACCTCTGCAAATGAGCATCAAATCTCCCCTCATATAAGTAATCCGTAGGATGTCCACATGACAAACTACCTTGCGGGGAAGAATTGAGCATGCAACTCTCAGCGCTTTCAAGGCCAGTTGACTCCTCCCCAGGAGCAGCATAATTGAATAAGTCTCCAACAGGACATAAGCATCCAGCCTCATCCCATGGTATATGTAACGTCCGCGAAGATATCTACAAACATGATTAATGTATAACGTTTCAGATACCACACAATCAGAACATACATAAGACCAAAAGCACTCGTTTAAAATTGTTATAATGGAACGTCAAAGATTGAGACATCAAAGACTGAGACCTATGCAACATTAAACAAAAGTAATCACCAGCCAAAGTATATGAACTTGACATACTGAAAGAATAACTTGGTACAAATTCTGATCAGTAGTAATGTTGATGCATCTTGTCAATTTTCTGAGTATATAGAATACTCACAAAGAGGTGCTTGAATATACATATGAAAAAAAAAACACAACCCTTTCATTTGGTAAACACCCTTTTTTAAAGAAAGAGAGAGAACCCTCACAGTTGCAGAAGCCCAAATCCACGCCCTAAGGGTAAGAAATCGAGGCTTAAGCTTAAGCTCTTGCATTAACAAATTAGCCTCTTTCCATTCTGATTCAGCCTTCGATATGGCCTTTTCTGTTGTCCAGACAGCATCATCCACCTAACAATAACTCCAAACTTTTCAGACGTCATTCTTGTGTTACTATAGCAGACTCAACAAAGTAAAACTGAAAAAAAAAACAGAATGCAAACTTAGAAACTGAACTTGAAAAGCTTGCTTTTCGAACTCACTGAAAGTAGCTAATGTCTCATAACTGCGGGGCAAATGCATCAAATATGGGTACCAAAAAGAACTCTTTCCTTTACCCATTTCATATAATAAACACACAGTCAGTATCTGCATCAAATTTTGGAGAAGAGCGTTAGCTTTAGCAACTAGAAATTCAAGCGAAGATACTAAAAATTGAGAGAACCATGATTTTTAAATTAGCAGATAATAGGAATAAAATAATCAAACCTGTGTAGGAGAAAGAGAGGGATGACCATTGACAAAAGAGGAGAGTAACCCATCTTTCAATAAACTGTCCCTTGTTAGTAAGGCAGGTTTTGGGACTCTAAGAACCAACTCCCCTTTCCAAAGATCACGAGCAGCACCTAAGCCTCTTCTGCACAATTACATTTCCATATTTCTATTAGCTTTATTAAAAATTAAAGAAAAAAAATCCCAAGATACTTTCTTTTTCTCAGTCAGAATTTCTCAGCAGCCAAAAAAAAAAAAAATATAGGACTACGAAAATGAATATGTGTATACACTCACCCTCCTGCATCAGGGAAATGAGAGAGAGTGAGAGAATTGCCGAAACAGGAGTTTGGATTCCGAGATTGGAAATTGTAGGGTGAATCTGAAATTCCAAGCTCGGCTGCCCATTCTAAAAACCCTTCAAGCCTTTCATGCTCGGCTTCTTCTGCCATCCCTCTTCGTTCTGATTTAGGGTCCAGTCTACTTGTCTTTCCATGACATCTATGTTTTAGCTTGAAACTGATTAATTTTTTTTCTTAAAAATTTATTTTATTTATATGAGTTTTTATTTTATTTTTGCTAAAATCTATTTCTCATAAACTTTAAAATTTTAACTATTAAAAATATTAATTTTAAGAGTTCTAAAATCATATTTTCACTTGTTAATTGTCCGTTCGGGGACATCCGTACTTGTTAAGATTTCTAATTACTACGATATTTTTTTTTAACGCAATGATAGAAAAATGAAAAACTCTTAGACTCGGTTTGTTTCGTAAAATAATTTGCAATAAAATATTTTTTATAATTTTTTATTATTTGGGGCATTCAGAAAAATAAGTCAATAGAAAATTAAGTCATTTTTAAAGAATATAGCTTTCTATTCTCGAGATCATAAAATATTTTTCAGACTTTAATAAATTTATTATAAATTTTTAAATTCATATTTTTTTAATTTATTAATCATCGATGCCATTATTACCGCTCACCATTCACCACCACCAATCATCACCACCGGCCACCACCGTTGGTCACCGATGACTTTCATAATTTATCTTTTTTTTTATTATACTCGTATTTAACAATAAAATTTTTAAAACGATGACTTTCATAATTTATCTTTTTTTTTATTATACTCGTATTTAACAATAAAATTTTTAAAATATGAAATTTATATTATTATTATAATAATAATACTCTTATGAGTTAAAAATTTTAACATTTTTAATTATTTTTCAATATTGCAACCAAACAACGGAAAATAAGTCATATGGAAAATATTTTTCAAGAAAAATTTTCTCAAAAAATATTTTTCAAAAATAAATTATTTTCCGAAAACGAACAGATTCTTAGTATTTTGGAAGTATGGATTGATTAGTAAATTTGATAAATTTTAAAATAGACAATTAAAAACATTGTAATTATATTCAAAAAATTAATTAATTTAGATGGAAAAAAATTATACACAAAAATAATATTGCAATTAGAAAGCATATTTTAGTTTAAACACATTCATATTTGGTTTCTCCCATATAATTTAAAAATGAAAAGTTTATTAACAATAATCACACTTTCTTAGATGGAAAAAAAATGTAAAACTTGAGATTCGTAATTAATTTATTAAAAAATTATGAGAAAATATGTGATTAAATATTTATAGGATAATTTTCATAATTTTCAAAAATTATTTAATTTAAATTGATAAAAGCAATAAATATATAATCAATAGTTTAAATTTATAACTATTTGTTTATTTATACTTCCAACCATTCAAATGGTCCTTTGACATTGAAAAATATATATATATTATATATATTATAATATATTATATATAATATAATAAAAAGATATAAAAAGTTAATTTACAAATGCAATGCAGATTTACAAATGCATTGTAGTTGGTCTTAACAAAATAATGCAGATGCTATGTGGGCTGAAGGTAATGGGCTTTCAAAGCCCATTTAATTAGGTGGATTTCATTGTCATTTAGCGAGGTAGTAAAGTACTACAGTGGATCATGAAGCCCATAATTTCATTTGCAAGGGCCAAGTTTCGCATTTGACTTATAATCTAAGGATAGAATCGTGAAAATATTTAGGCATCGTTTGGTTCAAGTTCACCTACTTCCTAGGAAGTTCAATTTGCAGAAAGTAAAGTTTCGGGGAAGTTATTTTCTAGGAAGTATAGTGTGTTTATATTTAGTTGATATATTAACTTCCCGAAAAGTAAAATTGTGTTCATAAAAGATTATATATGAAATGTCATAATACCCTATTATGAACTTGAGTATGTTAATTGAATAATCCATTGAAATACCTACGAAGCAAGGACAAAATAGATTTTTCTAATTTCTAAACTCAAGAAGTGTACTTCCTTCAGTTGAGAGGGGTAACTTACTTCGTGTAGAGTCAAGGAAGTAAGAGTTTCAATTTCCCGAGAATTTTTATATTTTTGGGAACCAAACAAAATGATATTACTCACTTTCTGGAAATAAGTCCCTGAGTAAAGTTACTCCAACTAAACAAAGCCTTAAATATAATTATTTTATGGGAAAATAATAATTGTACCCCTATATATGGCAAAAAAAAAAAACCATTTTATTCTTTTTTTAAAAGATATAGATTGTTATACCCTTATATTTTGACTCTATTACACTAGATTGTCCTTTCGTATAATATTTGTTATTTTAGACGTTAATTGCTTATAAAATGACGCGTTTAACCCTGATTATTTACCCATTCACACCTATTATTGTTCGTCTTTCTTATGAGCCTTCCCTAATTCAATTACCTGAAAATTCTCCATCTCCAGCACGACATTCCCGTTGGATGTTGTTCCTATTTTAGAATCTAAATCTTCCAAGTGGATTTTGGTGGGTATTGATATTGGAAATGCTCTGCTTATTCTAATTTCCTTCTTTAGATTTTGATTTTGATACTTTTACCAACATAATAAAGAAGTTATGCGGATGCATACATTTAAAAACAAAATCTCTTTATTTTCTTATCAAGGAATTCAATATTCCATTCAATCGTTGGTCATATACAGGTTTAACGATATATAGCTGTTACTATCTATTTTAGCAAAGATGGTAAAATTGAAGGTTATGTTTTCTTGATTTTGATTCTTTAATGGTGAAGTTGTCGCTGATAAGGGAATGAAAGGAGATGTCTCTAGTAAAATCAAAATTCTTAAAAAGATAAAACATTCTAACGTTGTATAACTCCCAAGTATATTGAGGATGAACTGATTACACCGAAAATATATGTTTTGCATATGGGGTTGTGATATTGGAACTATTATTATGAGTCAAATAAATAATTGAGAAGAAAAAATGCGTTTTACATTAACAAACCAGGTGCTTGAAGGAGCAATGTAGAAGAACTCCATAGCCTCATGGATCCTTACATCAGAGATGAGGTTCCTCTGCATTTGGCATTTCCTCTCCCATCATCCCATGGCTCAGTTGGCGATTAGATTGGAAGAGGAAGAAGTTATTTTGGAACAAAAAAAAAAAAATATATTTCTCCCTCTTTAGATTATCAGTTTAGTACAGCGAACTAAATATATAAGGGTACAATTATAATTTTTCATTATAAATTTATACAATCATAATTTATTATGGAAATAATCATTGGTCAACAAATAAATACATAAAGCAATATATATTAATTTATTATGGAAATATATTTTGGTCAACAAATAAATACATAAAAGCAAATATATATATAATATATATATATTTTTCGTAATTAATTAATTTATCCTTTTTTTAATACACTAACATGTCCTTATATTTTAGGGTCGTCACACCAGTGCACTTCTGTCCATTTTTTGCACTCTCAAAGAATAAGTCAAAGAAAAACCTAACAGTTTAAAGAGAAAGAAGAATTTTTCTTTATCAAAAGACCTCTTCTTCTTCTTCCTCGGGGTGACAAATCAGGCGATTCGATTCTAAATTGGATTGAACTGAAAATCAAAAATAAAAATTTTAAACTAAATGGTCCAAACCGAAACTATTTTAGTAACTGAATTTAACCGAGCCGCAATTTGCAATTTGGTCTAATTCAGTTATTCAAATTTTATTACTCATTTAAATTTGAATGTTGATCAAAATCTATAATTCAATAATCCAATTCAAAAGCTGCAAATTCTCCAAAAAAACTACTTTCAATCATTACATCAAATTAAAATCCACAAGCTAAAATAATAAGCTAACAATCCAAATCCATAAGCATTTGATAATACAATAACAAATTAACAATTCAAAAACCACAAATTAAACAAGTTAATAATTCAAGTCTAGAAAAGATAATAAATTAATAATAAGTCAAGTTCACAAGATAAAACAAAAAGCCAATAATAACTCCAAGCTTGATAATCAACACATTCATGTGCATATCCACAATCTCAAAAGTTTACAATTTCATCATTTTTTTTCCAAACTTAAAAAATGGATAGAAACATAAATTAATAATTAAATAGAAAAAGAATAATTAAGTACTCATCATATATAATTATGGATCCTTCATACAAAATGACACTAAGATCACAATTTAAAACCTTTTAAAAAAAGTTCTAACTAGTAGCATTTGATGTCATATCACCAATTTTGATTCCACTTAGAAGTAGAGCTAAAAATTAAAAATCAAACAATTCAACTTTGTATTCTCCATCATGTCTTCAACTACTAGAGCATCGGAATGTGGGAAATGTACATGCTCGGCATCCTCTTCAGAGATAGTGATGGCTTTATGTAGGTTTTGTCACTCTCAATATATATGCAGTAAGTAAATTTTTCGAGTATGTCTCTTTCTTGTCGATCTATTGTCTCCTCCTGCAACACCACTAAAAATCATGTTAATAGTACCTAGGGGTTCAGATCTTACCAGTTGTTTGCACACTCTCTTAGATAACACTACAAAAAAATCGGTAAATTGCAACCGATTTGATATAAGAAATCGGTCGCTAAATGGCAGTAGCGACTGATTTGCGACAGAAATGAATCGGTCGCAAAAGTGCTCGTCGCAAATAATTTTAGGACCAATTGTCTAAGCGGTCGCAAATTAGCGATTGATCAAACATATAAATATCAGTCGCTAATTAGCGACCGACTAATCGATCGCAAATTGTTGGCAACAAGTGTCGGTCGCAATTATCAAACACGGTCGCAAATTCTGAAATTGATTGGTTGCTGATCTGTCGCAAATTTAAATTTAACGATTATAATTTGATTGTAGTTCAGTCACTAGTCGGTCACAAAATATAATTATAGGCAAAAAAATAATTTAATAATATTAAAAACCATAATTATTTTCACCTGTCAAAAATCAACATACATATACATATCACAAGCATCATCAGAAACAATAACTATCTAAGAAAGAACATTAAATCTAATGTTTATACAAAATATGAAAAATTCAACGACAATCTAAGAAGCATCATCCTCGTCCACGTGTACTGCATCCTCAGCCACGACTTCCACGCGAACCACTGCTGAACGTGTCTG